TAATTTTGGACTCCAACTTCTTTCACCCCCAACCATATTGGGTGGATGGGAATGGGCATCATGTTGGGGAAGGCCAATGGATAGCTGTAGGTATTTTGTGTGCTATACTTTTAGTGACTCTGATTTCCAGTGACTCTGAAAAGTGAGTATGCAAGTAAAAATTGGTGGTTATGCTTGAAACAAGCACTCCAGATGAGGCTTGCACAGCAGTGCAGCCCTGGAGTCCAAGGCATCTCTCCCAGCCAGCCTACAGCTGATGGATCCCAGTCTTTCGTCTCCCCTCTTCTTCTTCCCACCTTGCTAAAAGACTCCCTTTACCTGTCACTTCACACCCACTTACCCTGGCACCATCTGTCTCCCCAGGCCAAAGGATTCCTCTTGGATGGTCCATCAACACCTTTTGTCATGTTAACAGATTTGCTCTTCACTGGGCCAGCCAAACTGGTTAGCATAAGCAAGCCCAGGGATTCCTGACACAGCTCTGCATCTTGTTCTTTCATCCACATCCCAATTAATCAAAAATCCTACCATTTATTAATTCCTATGGTTTAGGAGGTTCCCCCCTCCCCAATCTATAATAACACTCAACTACTGTAGATGGACCAATGGTCTGAGTCAGCTAGAGACCCAAATTTGGGAAACACTGCTATGTGGTAATCTAGTACAGAGACCTCCAATGCCTGTATCAGAGCAGAGGCACATGTTGCCCCAGACAAGGCCCAACTGGAAGGAAGATGCCCGAGCAAATTAGGCTCTTATTTATATGCGGAATGACTTACCTTACTGGACAAAGATCCGAAATAGGCTACACGGTCCCAGGTGGCAATGAAGAGCCAGGTAGCCGTGAAACTGATTTCAGGGAAGTAGTTATTAATGTCCCGGGTGACATTTCTCAGCAGTTCTGGTTTCTGCGTCTGCCGGTAATAGACATGGCCACCTAGAATAATGTTGGCATCCGCCCAGTAAGGGGCAACAAAGGCCTTTCCGTCTACCATGGGGATGGCTTTGGGGGTGTACTCTGGGACGGGCACGGAAAAGGAAACCACCCCATTGTTGTTGACCTGTGAAGGGGCAGAGAGCAGCGACGTAAGCAGAAACAGCAAAAGGCTAAAGTGCCCCCAGGCAAACCATCCCAAGGACTATTTCCTTCTCACTGCTAAGAATTTTCAGTTTCTGATCTGAATCCTCCGGGTATCGGCTCCTAGACTCTTGGAGCAGCACAGTGTAACAGGCAAAGGAGGGTCGATACCATGACTGGGAAGTGAGACTGTGCTGCTGGTCCTACCCCTTGGGTCATGTGCTCAGGCTAGCTGCACTGCTGAGGACATTCTGAATGCAAATATTTGAACGAGAGTCCCTATTCAGCAGCTGCTTCATGCATTATTATCATCATCATCATCCTTCATCTGAGGATCACAGAGCAGTTTACAATATAAGGTAAAGGTACCCCTGCCCATACGGGCCAGTCTTGACAGACTCTAGGGTTGTGCGCCCATCTCACTCTATAGGCCGGGGGCCAGCGCTGTCCGGAGACACTTCCGGGTCACGTGGCCAGCGTGACAAGCTGCATCTGGCGAGCCAGAGCCGTTTACCTTCCCGCCAGTAAGCGGTCCCTATTTATCTACTTGCACCCGGGGGTGCTTTCGAACTGCTAGGTTGGCAGGCGCTGGGACCGAGCAACGGGAGCGCACCCCGCCGCAGGGATTCGAACCGTCGACCTTTCGATCGGCAAGCCCTAGGCGCTGAGGCTTTTACCCACAGCGCCACCCGCGTCCCAGTTTACAATATAAAAACACAAAAATACATGCCATAGTAACAAACAAAAGCAATAACCCCCACGTACGTAGTTTAAAAGGCCATCGATCAATTAGCCAAAGACCTGGGAGAAGAGGAACATTTTTGCCTGGCACCAAAAGATATGTGATGAAGGTGCCATGTGGGCCTCCCTGCATTGTTGCCCCTTGCCTAGGCATTTGGATCACCAAGAGTTGCTATGCATGAACTGATGTTCATTGCCTAGCGGCTTGTTTTCAGTCCCCGTCCCCCCACCATCTTTCTGAGAACCTCCGACAGTGATTGGCATCGTCCTGCGTCGTTTATCTATTTGTACATGCACACTATTTATAGCCTGCCCTTTGTCAAAAGACCTCAGGGAAGATCCCTTGTCCATGGGAACTCTGTCTACCAGCAGGGGCATACCTAGGTTCCCTTGAACCCTTGGTAAGGAGATGTTGGTCACCTAGAGCAGTGAAGGAGTGGCCTGAGAGATGGCCAGGCAAGTGGGCTCCTAGTCAGAGTGAAGAGGCTCATTTTTGCACACACACACCCCCTGGGCCTGCAGCCCTTGGCAGGGGCCAGCCTTGCCAACCCCTAGGTACACCCCTGTCAAAGCAATGATTCTTCAACATCAACTTTGTTGGAGTGGTCATGTTGTGCAGATGCCTGATTATTGTCTTCCAAAGCAACTACAGTGGTACCTCGGGTTAAGTACTTAATTCGTTCCGGAGGTTGGAAATGCAGGGAAAGGGAGGGAACCTTCTTCCACATGTGGCGGGATTGCAAAAAGGTCAGAGGTTTTTGGGAAAATATTTATACTGAAATGAAAAAATTTTAAGGTGTACTTTCGGAAAAAAACCAGAGGCCTTTTTGTTAGGTTTATCAGGTAAAGAGATAAAGAACAAAGATTGCAAATTTTTCCAATACGCAACAACAGCAGCAAGAGTCCTACTAGCCCAAAACTGGAAACAGCAGAAAATACCGACAATTGAGGAATGGAGAGAGAAATTAATAGATTATGCGGAGTTAGATAGATTGACGGGGAAAATTAGATATTTAAGAGACCAAAGGTTCATAGAGGATTGGGGGAAATTCGTGGATTATCTGGATAATATAAGTGAAGGACGATTAACGCTAGTAGGCTTTAAAAGAGCTCTGTGATATCAGCAAGAATATTGTCAAAAGAGAAATGGTAGAAAGGATTTAAATAATGTCAATAGATAGCAGTATATGCGAATATTTTGGAAAGACTACGGAGGATTCGCGGAGAGGCTGAAGGAAGTTCTAAAGAATGAAATCGATGGAAATATGATGTAGACCGTTTAAGTGTTTTTTTGTTATGTTTCAAATGAATAAAAATCATGCATTAAAAAAAAAAAATAATTCGTTCCGGAGGTCCATTCTTAACCTGAAACTGTTCTTAACCTGAAGCACCACTTTAGCTAATGGGGCCTCCTGCTGCCGCCGCACCGCTGTAGCACGATTTCTGTTCTCATCCTGAAGCAAAGTTCTTAACCTGAGGTACTATTTCTGGGTTAGCAGAGTCTGTAACCTGAAGCGTATGTAACCTGAAGTGTATGTAACCCGAGGTACCACTGTACTCCATTCCGAACTTAAAAATGGAAAGCGTAATGCTGGTGGTCAACAAAAGAGGTTCAAAGACTGTCTCAAGGCAAATCTAAAAAAAACGTAGTATAAACACAGACAACTGGGAAACACTGGCCTGCGAGTGCTCCAGTTGGAGAACAGCCTTTACCAAAGGTGTCATGGGCTTTGAAGACGCTCAAACTCAGGATGAAAGGAAGAAAAGTGCTAAGAGGAAGACACACTTGGCAAACCCTCACCATGAGCAACTCCCGCCCAGAAACCTATGTCCCCACTGTGGAAGGACATGTGGATCCAGGACTGGCCTCCACAGTCACTTACGGACTCACTGTTAAAACTGTTTATGGAAGACAATCTTGCTCAGCTACGAGTGATCGCCAAAGAAGACGACACCCCTGTGTATCGTTTTAGCATTCCCTGACAGCTAGGGCTTATCTACACTAACCTTCCCTCCTTGCTTTAAAGCTCTGTGCACTCTTTTTATTTTTGCTCCAGAGCTTTCCCTGTGAAAACCCACCCTTTAAGTGCTCTGACACAGAACTTCAAAGCATTGGTTTCTGCCTGGAAAGAGCAGGGCAAAAGATAACAAGCCTCTAATCACAGTATTGGCTATCTGTTCTTCCGGCTACAAGAAGATGGAAGTTTGTGGGGTAATGGGCATCCTGAGAGCAGAACACTTGAGGTTGAAGTGGGAGAATGGTCACCTTCCCCTTTCCTGTGATTCATTCTTGCTTTGTGCCAAAAGGGATTATACGTACATAAACGCTGTGGTAAGTCTTGTCATAGAAGGTGAAAGGTACCAAAATAGGAATCTTAGGGGACGTCCCGTCATCTGCTATGGGGTTCTTCATATCTCCTGCAGCTTCCCCATAGGGATACAGGAGGTGCTCTGGACAGAAGGAGAGAAAACACTTTGATGCCTCAAACCTGACACAAACCTATGAAAATCGGGGAGGGGTGCTGTTGTGTGGCATAACAGAGCATCCTCAAAAGGAAGGAAACTGTTCTCTATGGTCTCACAGCTACCAGATTCTGGAAGGAAGATTTGCACAATAGTGACCCCCTAAATACTCTGCTTAAAAGTTTTTGCTAGGTGGACCTCCATCTTGGTCTCAGTAGTTGTTTTATGCAGACCCTGCAAGTGTCCCTATTTTCCACAGACAGTCCCAGATTTACAGAAGCCGTCCCAGTTTCTGATTTGATCCCAGAATGTCTCCCTTTTCCTTAGGACGTCCCTATTTTCATCAGAGAAATGTTAAAGGGTATGGAGGTATGCCCTTAGGCAAGGAGAAAAATGACTATACCACCTTTAGAAGACATCTGAAGGCAGCCCTATATAGGGAATGTTTTTTTTAATGTTTTGTTATGTTTTTTTACATATGTTGGAAGCTGCTCAGAGTGGCTGGGGAAACCCAGTTGGATGAGCAGGGTATAAATAGTAGATGATGGTTGTTATGGAATAGAATGTCCCTATTTTCATTGGAGAAATATTGGAGGATATGTAGAAGACTTCAGTCAGCCCATCATTATCTAAATCAGTGTTAAATAACTCAGGTTTCTAGAAATACTATTTCTTTGGAGAATGCTCCACCGACACCCCATGAGGGTCAGACTTTACCGTTGGTTTCTTTTGTTTCTTTTATTGTTACTTTTGTTTCATGCAGCCAAAAAGTCGAAGCTGAACCTATAACAGAGAAGGAAAGACAATGGTGAGTCTTCAGGGGAAGAGTGCTCTCTCTTCTGGGATCTAGGAAGCTTTCTGGGTCTGTGGATTCCCCTGGGGGATCTCACCACATCTATCTGTCAATTTAGCAAGGCTTTGCAGCAGCTCCCCAATTTGTGATGGGCCTTCTCCACTTCTCTGCGCTTTTCACTTGGGGGGGGGGGGCTTGTTTATGCCTCTTTCTCCCAATACCAGCTTCTGGTGAGACTCAGATTGCTGCCTCGGTTCAACTTACCTAGCAGAAGTAGCAGGAAGGCAAAGGAAGTCTTCATATTGGCGTCTCCTTCCCAAGCAGCAGCATATGACAAGCAACATCCCAGGAATTGAGGAGAAAGGAGAGGGCATATAAAACTGAATTAAGACATGAATGCAGGAGGGAAAGATGCTTTTTCCAGTTGTGTGTATGTCCCCCCACCCCCACTCACCCACATCCCATTAAAGCAGAGGTGGGGGACCTGTGATCCTCCAAGTGTTTTTGGACTCCATTTCCCATCAGCTCCAACCAATATGGCCAGTGGTCAGGGATAAGGGGAGTTGTAGTCTGCAAACAGCTGGACCGTCACAGGTTCCCCCTTCCTGCATTAAGAACTCCTAACAATGGATCACACCTTTTGGGTCTGAGACCTGCCTGTCAGTTCCACTCTTCCCCATTGCCTATGTGAAACTGGCCAATGGTTGGAACAGGAAAAATCTAGTGCTCCTCTGTATTTTCGTCACTTGATGTGGAATATTCTCCAGACAATCTCTGACCATGCAACTCTAGGCATGTTTACTTGGGTGTAAGCACTAGGTAAGTGGACAGGATTACAGCCTAAGTGTTTTACATATTTGCCAAAGTTACTTGATGTGGATATCTGGATTTGACACCCTGCGATATTTTGTTTCAGCATTTGATGTTCGACTAAAGAGGTTTGATTTCAGAATCTGATATTTACCTGTGTCTGATAGCCGATGCACAATTCTATCATCTATCTATCTATCTATCATCTATCATCTATCATCTATCTATCTATCTATCTATCTATCTATCTATCTATCTATCTATCATCTATCATCATCTATCTATCTATCTATCTATCATCTATCTATCTATCTATCATCTATCTATCTAATCTATCTATTTATCTAACTAACTAACTAACTAACTAACTAACTAACTAACTAACTAACTAAGCACTTTGCATATCCCAACAATTTACCAAAGAGTTTGAATTCTGAAGCAAAGGATGTGGCGAGAGGGCGGGGGGGGGGAGGGAAAGCATTTTCAGAAATCAAAGCGATAGAATTGGAAAGTTTGGTGCATTTTCAAGCATTTCCGCCTTAGGAAAATGGAAGGTATCATCAGGAGGTCATGAGCAGCACTTAACTATTGCATTGCAAACCTCCCAACAGCTATCAAAAGTGCACAAGGTGTCATACATGGACTCATTCTATGAAATGAGGTAGCCCAATATACAGTGGTACCTCGGTTTAAGAACAGTCCTGTTTACGAATGATTCGGTTTATGAACTCCGCAAAACCAGAAGTAGTGTTCCAATTTGCGAACTTTACCTTGGTCTACAAAAGGAAACCGAATGGTGGAAGGGCACCGGCAGCGGGACACCTCATTAGGGAAAGCACGCCTCAGTTTAAGAATGATTTTAGTTTAAGAAACGGACTTCAGGAACGGGTTAAGTTCGTAAACCGAGGTACCACTATATTGCAAGGTGGGTGGGTGTTCCATTGGAAGCACATGTGAGGGGTCACAGTGTTGTGCCACCCCACCAAAGATGTGCTCACTGCTCATCCCACCTACCCCTCTCCCCATCAGCCTCATTTAGGAGCCTCTGTGGTGATTTGGTCATTTTAGACTCTGGATTTTATGGTCTTACAGCCATCGCCCTCTTAAGATGACAGCGTTTATCATTTCACTGCCTTCAAAATGTAGTAAGCCAGCTCTGCTGTGCTTGGAGGTCTTCCTGCTCATTCTGATTGCTGGGTGGGGAATAGACCTCTCCCCCAAGTCCTGCCTTGATGGCATAACCGGGCAGTTTTTGTGCATGTTCTGATTGATGTGTGCTGGGCAATTTATTTCACAACGTTTATATACGCCTTGATTGTAATAAAACCTCCAAGTGATTTACTAAAAAAAAAACCAATGAAAAGAAAGTGAAAACACATATTTAAACCACCCAAAAATAATTAAAATCCAGGACAAAAATGCTCTAGCAGACACCGAAAAGAGTACAGTGAAGGCACCTACCTGACGTCAACAGTCGGAGAGTTCCAAAGTGTGTATGTCTCACTTGCACGTGAATGGGAAAAGCTGGGTCTCTCCCTAATGCTGAGAATCTCTAGGCATGTTCACAGTTTCGCATGTATAGACGCTACACACAGCTACCTCACATGTAAATGTTGGGTTATGGGGCCAGCATGTATGTATGTTGACAGTGGCAGGTTTGGGGGGGGAGTAAGCCAGCTAATGCACTGTACTCACTATTGTCTGTCCTCATAATTACAACTTGCCCCTTCCCCTTAAACCTCATCGCTGAGCCACCATATGAACCCAAATCTCCGCAATCCAATATCAACATGCTATACCCTGCAAGTGTCCTGGGGGGGGGGGAACGGAACATCCTGTTTTTTTGCGCAAGAGCATGGCGGCCATTCCAAGCACTGTGATCTCAAGCGGGTCATGTGACTTTTGTGTGACACGCATCCTGGTTTGGGGACATGCCATTCACATATTTCATATGTGCTGACAACCTGGAAATGGCCCAGGAAGGCTTCTGTCTCAATGCAAACAGCAATGAGGGAAGGGCGCTTTTTGTTGGTATCATGGCAGGAGGAGGAAAGCAGTAAAGCCTTTCGCGTGCCCCCTCTCTCCCTACCTCCCTCCATCTCCCTCCATTGCAGTCCCAGATGTTGCTAAGGCTCTCCCATGCTGCTATTCATGTAACAAAAGCATGCAAGTTAATTGCATTCAATTTCAAGCCTAGCTTGGCCGTATTATGTGTGTGCATATGTAAAAACACCTGTCTGTCTTCATGCTCCTGATATTGCTCCTACATTGGCTCCCAGTACATTTCCGAGCACAATTCAAAGTGTTGGTGCTGACCTTTAAAGCCCTAAATGGCCTCAGTCCAGTATATCTAAAGGAGCGTCTCCTCCCCCATCGTTCTACCTGGACACTGAGGTCCAGCTCCGAGGGCCTTCTGGCGGTTCCCTCACTGCGAGAAGCCAAGTTACAGGGAACCAGGCAGAGGGCCTTCTCAGTAGTGGCGCCCTCCCTGTGGAATGCCCTCCCACCAGATGTCAAAGAGAACAACAACTACCAGACTTTTAGAAGACATCTGAAGGCAGCCCTGTTTAGGGAAGCTTTTAATGTTTGATGTATTACAGTATTTTTATTTATTTATTTATTTATTATTATTTTGGAAGCCGCCCAGAGTGGCTGGGAAATTATTATTATTATTATTATTATTATTATTATTATTATTATTATCTTGAGGATGCAGAAATTTCCACTTGCCTTTAGCCCCTACCTCACTTACCTTTCTGCTCCTTTCTTCCTCCACGTCTGTTGTCGCCCAGGCTCAGACATCCTTAGGGAGTCTCTTCTGGTTTTATATATACAGCCCTGCAATATTTCCACACCCAAGTTCCCCTGTAAAAATTGACCTGCCTCCCGACTGCTCTTCCCTTCCCTCTGACCTGGCCTGATGCCCCAGAGGGATTCATAACTCAATGGCAAGATGGAAGCCTTAAATCCACTCTTAATCCATTCTGTATGTTTTAGGGGTGTGCGCAGGCTCCAAGATTTGTCTTGTAGCTGAGTTTGTGCATTTTAAAATTACTGATCTGTTTTCAGACACACTACTTTTCCCCGCTTCAATCTTTAATTTGGGTTCTGAGTTGTATCAAATGAAGCTCTGTGGTTCCCCTTTCACTATAATGGGAAATCTAAAAACAGCTGTAACTCTTCTCCCCTTTTGACAAAGTGAATGACATTTATGAGTCCCTTCAGAGTGGATTAAGCTTGCCAAATTGCAGTGGAATGGGTTCGGAAGCTTTTTGTAAATAAAAGAGATTCACTTTCTTCCATAAGTCCAAACAAGGGGCACCATGGGGGTTTCCTGCTCTTTCTTGCCAAGTGGTGTGCATTTTTGTCTTCATATTTCATTTCAATTTTTGAACCTTCACACTGGCCATTCTGCACATGCTTCCTGTCTAGAACATTGCCTGTGAAGTAATGTGAGCTATATTTGCTTTTCTTAAAAAAGAGCAATACAGTGGTACCTCGGGTTACATACGCTTCAGGTTACATACGCTTCAGGTTACAGACTCCGCTAACCCAGAAATTGTGCTTCAGGTTAAGAACTTTGCTTCAGGATGAGAACAGAAATTGGCCTCCGGCAGCGCAGCAGCAGGAGGCCCCATTAGCTAAAGTGGTGCTTCAGGTTAAGAACAGTTTCAGGTTAAGTACGGACCTCCGGAACAAATTACGTACTTAACCTGAGGTACCACTGTATAGAAATACATTAAATCAAGTTTGTAACTATTAAAAAAATATATCCAGAGCTGTGCTTTAACCATAAACCACGTTTTCAGTTCTCTGCAAGCAAAATTTTGAATAGCCTCATCTTTTAAAGCTATTGAAACATTGTGATGTGTAGGAAAACACACAGCCCCCAAATGTATCTTCTCAATTGTAGATCTTTTCAGTTTTGCACCCCTCGGCTCAGCACCCTGTTGGGGGGATCTGCCCCCACACCCCTAAATTCAGTATGGTGGGGGCCAAGAAACACAGTTGCCATGATGTGAGGGCACAAGCGAAGCTGTACTATAGACTAAGGTGGCCATGTTTCACAGGCTGATGTATCTTCTAATGCAGATGTAGGGGAACCTGTGGCCCTCCATATGTTGCTGAGCTGCAACTCCCATCATCTCCAGCCACTGGCCATGCTACCTGAGATTGATGGGAGTTGGAGTCCACCAAAATCTGAAAAGCTACCAATTGACAGCTCTGTCCTAAAACATGCAGCCTGACTGTGTGGTTTGAAAGAAGCTCCTTCCTCAAGACCTCACTTTAGGGTGCTTTATCCCAACTCTATGAAAATCAGTACTAGCTGTCCTCCACCCTGTGTTCTTCTGACAAGGAGATCTGAGGGCCCCAATCTAGCAGTCCCAAGAAAGCAGAACAGAACTCATTGCTGAGAGGGCAAGGCGGATGTGGATTAGGCCTTGATCCTCTTGTTTGCTCCTTTACTGAGAGAAGATCAACAAGGATTAGGTAAACACGCAAAGTGTGGACTCTGTGCCATGATCTTCCCACTTGGCTTGAACTCCCAAATGTTTGCAAAAGGAGATCTGGATTGGGGAACAGGATCTTGCCACACCCCTGGGAATTGGTGTAATGCCTTTTAACGGGTGTATTGTCCTCTGTCTCAGCAGTGAGCATCCACAACAACACAGAACAAGTAACAGGACAAATGCACTAACTCTCAGTTGCCCAGCCTTGTAAATCCTATCTATATCACTTCGCCAGAAGCAGCTGTATCTCTTAAAGCAGAGCTTTCCCAACTTTTCATGTTGGTGACGCATTTTTTAGACGTGCATCATTTTGCAACACAGCACAGTGGTACCTCGGGTTAAGAACTTAATTCGTTCTAGAGGTCTGTTCTTAACCTGAAACTGTTCTTAATCTGAAGCACCACTTTAGCTAATGGGACCTCCTGCTGCTACGCCGCCGCTGCACAATTTCTGTTCTATTCTGAAGCAGGGTTCATAACCCGAGGTACTATTTCTGGGTTAGCGGAGTCTGTAACCTGAAGCATATGTAACTTGAATGTATGTAACCCAAGGTACCACTGTAATTCATTTTTGTTCGCAAACAGGAGGTTAAACTAACCCCTTTCCATACCCAGGAGGAGCGCGGGGACCGTTTGCGTGACACACCTACACACTAACGTGTCAGGACACACACTTTGGAAAGCTCTGTCTTAAAGGGACCACACACCAAATATCTGACTAAGAAACATAGAGGAACAGGAAACCATGGATAGAATAACTGGTAATTCAATATGAGATGGAATGAAGTCCTTTTTTTTAGGAATTAGGAAAAAATTCATTCAGTTCACGTTTTAGTGAGTGCAAAATTTGTGCTTCTCTTTTGCAGCATAACCAAATAATGCATACAAAAAGGTTTGTATTAGGGCTCATCCATATTTCAGCTTGCCCCATGCCTAGAAAACACAGGTCCAAGCAATTTTCCAATTGGCCCACTCCTTTTTGAGGGAAAACCCACTCTTTAGCTTTAAATCAGAACGAACTGCAGTCCATGGAAAACTCGATTGCTGTTTGCTCAGATGGCGCACTAAAGAACAGTTTTCCCTGAGGGAAAGCGGCAAGGCAAGAGGATGTGTGGATAAGACCTTAGTGAAAAGTGCATGTGTGAAAAATGCATTCTATTATGGAAAATTTGCTGGCAAGAGTATATGCACTAGGTGAAATTGCATGGGGAAATGTGCTCACTGGGAGGTTGGTTGGCATCCATCTGTCTCATGGAAATGTATGGATCATGATACCTTTAAAAAAAAATATGCCCTAAATACATACATTTATGAAGTGAACTGAATTTTAAGATTAGCAAAATGCAAAACTGGGAGAAACCAAACTGACAGGTTTCTGACACTGCATTCCTCATTTAACACTGCTGTCCACTTCTCTTGTCAACCTCTCTCTGGTACAGTGGCGTAGCATGGGGGGCTGGGGTGTGTTGCCCTGGGTGCATTTTTTTGAGGAGGCACAACCAGGTGCCCCAACAACAGGCTCCCTCACCTGAGAATTATTACAGAGGGAGTGGAATAGGACATCTCTATTTTCACCAGAGAAATGCTAGAGGGTGTGAGAGTGTTTGGGAAACTGAAAGTTGGTTATCAAGAGGTGAATCCCACTTTGAATCCCACTTTCAGATGAAACAAGAACCCCTCAAGTCAGATTTGGACCTAGAGGTCACTGACACGGTAAGGACTCATCTGTGTCCATCCATTCATGTTCTGCTTTTTCGCCAGTGTTTCTCAGAAGATGAGAGCCAGAGTCTGGTCCAAACGCTGATCTCCTTCCTGACTTCCAAAGGTCCTGCTGTTCAGGTCTTGCAATGCACTCACATTTTAAAGTTGTTTGCCCATCCCATGTGCATATCTACGGTTCAGTGAATCTGCTCGGAGCTGATTCATTTGCTGGTGCACTGATCCCTGTGTAACTATTAGCAGAGAATAGGACTTGGGTGGGGCAGGTCAGCCCTAAGCCCTTGGAGAGCCATCTGTCGGCACCTGCCTGGATTCAGTTGTAAGAAGAGAGTAGAGCTCTATATTGTTGCACAGCACTGCAAGCTCCAGGTGGCTGCAGTTGTCTGAAAATGATGGCGTTGTCTGAAAATGATGGCGTTGTCTGAAAATGGATGGCGGCTAACAGATTGAGGTTGAATCCTGACAAGACAGAAGTACTGTTTTTGGGGGACAGGAGGCGGCCAGGTGTGGAGGATTCCCTGGTCCTGAATGGGGTAACTGTGCCCCTGAAGGACCAGGTGCGCAGCCTGGGAGTCATTTTGGACTCACAGCTGTCCATGGAGGCACAGGTCAAATCTGTATCCAGGGCAGCTGTTTACCAACTCCACCTGGTACGTAGGCTGAGACCCTATCTGCCTGCAGACTGTCTCGCCAGAGTGGTGCATGCTCTGGTTATCTCCCGCTTGGACTACTGCAATGCACTCTACGTGGGGCTACCTTTGAAGGTGACTCGGAAACTACAACTAATCCAGAATGCGGCAGCTAGACTGGTGACTGGGGGTGGCCGCCGAGACCATATAACACCGGTCTTGAAAGACCTACATTGGCTCCCAGTACGTTTCCGAGCACAATTCAAAGTGTTGGTGCTGACTTTTAAAGCCCTAAATGGCCTCGGTCCAGTATACCTGAAGGAGCGTCTCCACCCCCATCATTCTGCCCGGACACTGAGGTCCAGCGCCGAGGGCCTTCTGGCGGTTCCCTCATTGCGAGAAGCAAAGCTACAGGGAACCAGGCAGAGGGCCTTCTCAGTAGTGGCGCCCGCCCTGTGGAACGCCCTTCCAGCAGATGTCAAAGCAATAAACAACTACCTGACATTCAGAAGACATCTTAAGGCAGCCCTGTTCAGGGAAGTTTTTAACGTGTGATATTTTACTGTATTTTTGGTTTCTATGGAAGCCGCCCAGAATGGCTGGGGAGGCCCCGCCAGATGGGCGGGGTATAAATTATTATTATTATTATTATTATTATTATTATTATTATTATTATTATTATTTCTGGGTTTTGAGATCCATTCCCCAGGACTACTCAGTGGCTTTTATCCTTCCAGATACCACCTTGGAAGGCAGCCAGGCCTCAATCGGGAAAAGTAGGAGGCGGCACATCATCAAATAACTTGGGGGGGGAGGGCACTTGCCCTGGTTCACCCTTTAAAAGGTTTATTTGGTCCCAACCTCTCTTGGGTCAGTACTGGGCAGAACCCATACCCGCTAACATTTCTCTGATGAAAATAGAGATCTATTATTATTATTATTATTATTATTATTATTATTATTATACCCCATCCATCCATTATTATACCCATCCATTATTATACCCCATCCATGGCGTGCTCTGGTCCATGGGGTCACGAAGAGTCAGACACGACTAAACAACTAAACAACAACAACACCCCATCCATCTAACTGGGTTGCCCCAGCCACTCTGGATGGCTTCCAACATATAAAAAACCATAATAAAACATTAAACATTAAAAAAAAACCCTTCCCCATACCTGGCTACCTTCAGATAACTCGGAGGTCAGATAGCTCCATACCCTCCAACATTTCTCCGATGGAAATAAGGACATCCTAAGAAAAAGTGGGACATTCTGGGATCAAATCAGAAACTGGGGCAGCTTCTGTAAATCCGGGGCTGTCTCAGGAAAATAGGCACACTTGGAGGGTCTGCAATGCATCCTATTCAAGCTGGCTTTCATGAAGGAAATGTGTGGAATAGCTTGCAATGCACTCTAGTAGGAATGCTTACTTACTCTCTGTAGGCACTAAA